AAAAAAATAGTCGACTAATTATTCGACTAATTTCTATGATTTGTATATAGCTGGTCGTACAAATTATTAGTCGAATAATAGACGGTAGTACGTAAAGAAAACCGAATAATAGTCGGTAGTATCAAATAGTCGTTTCTGCCCATTACTAATTGGGTATACGCCGAAAATCGAAAATCTGCTGACGGTTACACGACGTTTACCCCCGTATACGTACTAATACACCCCTACTTAAGATAATATATGTACACCGACAAAGGACTACGTAGAACTCGATATATGTAACCCATTAGACAAACTTCTGATGCTGAACACCGATAAGAGCAGTGTATTTTTTAACTAGTTAACTAGGCGACACAAATGTCGCCCAGTAATTATACTTTGTCAACAGAGTTTTAAAACATTGGGCGAAATAATGCGAAACAAACGTGTAATACTATAATCGTACTATTGTATTATACATTGACTATTTTGAGAAAAACAATTTTTGTGGCCCAGTGAAAATTCCTTATAAAATTCACTGGATAAGAGAATAAAAGCCGATTTAGCTCTGGAATCTGACTTCTTCTGGACTATACCCCTGCCATGCAATCTATCTAAGATGTTGTCAACAATGAAGACAAACAATTAGAGTTAGTTATCTGGTTCATTGTTCAACGAATAGATGACAAACATGTTCAGAAACCTTTATAAACTTATATCAAATATCACCTTCGTCATGTATTTTATAGCGACTGGTTACTATTTATATAGTAATCAGTCGCTAGAAGTTATCTGACTATGAAAAATTGATAAATTAAATCACAATTTGTCTTTCATTCTATATATTGCAAAAAAAAAAAAAAGTTCTCAAATGATTGTTTGTGTTTGGATTGATCTAGAGCAGTGGTTCTCAACCAGTGTGCCGCGGGATCGACTAGGTGTGCCGTGAAAAATGTCTGATATTTGAAAATACCGACGGACTGATGAAACTATGACAGTTAAATGTCAATTAATTGTGCAGATACATATGTAGGTGAACTGCACGGTTTTAACCCAACTGGATATCTTAGCGTTTAGCCAAAATTGATGTTGTTGTCAAGTGCATGAGTGTGCCGCGAAAACTTGTGATGTATAATGGTGTGCCGTGAACAAAAAAAGGTTGAGGACCACTGATCTAGAGGTTTATTAAAATAATTTATTTTCTGACAATTGTTCGAATTTTTTTATAGCTATAGGTAATCCATTTAAATTTAAGGATGTAATAATTGTAATATTAACAAACACATTATACCTTAGTCTTGCTTGTTAGCTACTATTGGTGACATAAAGAAAATTTTATTTGTTATTAAAAATTAAATAGTCAGATGTTCTTAAAAATTATTAACTAAGATTTTTATAAATAGTCTAGACTATAAATAATAATATTAACATTATATAAATTAAAATAATGTGTAGAGATAAACAATTAAAAAGAAAATTATTCGGAAATTATTCCCAGTGAAAAGCTTAAGTTACCCACTTCAGGTATAAATTGTATTTATGTTTAGTGTTTTTCTTATACATTATCAAATACAGTCCATTTTTAAAAAAACATTTTTCTTACTTTATTTTAAATTAAATTGATTAGCCAAGTGATATAAGTGTTAATGATTAGAGAGTAATAGTTCTCTCAAAGGTCTTACACTAAATAATTGCTAAAAAAATATATATATAGGTTTTCTTTAAAAATGAAAACAACTGTATGATATAAATTGATCATGTCAACTAAAAGGTTAAAAGGAAATGTATATTATTGATGACCAAAATAAAAAATATTTTAATAATATTAAAGTAAACACAAGAACTTATTTGTGGCTTAAATCAGTATATAGTTACTATGAAGTATTAATATTTTCCCAGCACATATAATTGTCATAACTTTATAATTTCTTATAAAGACTTCTGAATTAATAGTATATTATCAGCTATAAGGATACAATTATAAACTGAATAACTTAAAAATTTGTTATTATATACTTTTATTCAATAAACATCAAACTGTTGCTTTATTAGACAATACAATTTATATGGCTTACAGAAAAAATGGTTCAGTAATCCAATTAAATGTTGGACCTACATTTTATTTTATTTAATATAATATAATATAATTGTTCATTGTTTTCCTTGATTTTTTCCTTAATTTTTGGTAGAAATCAATCTTATTATTAATTATCTAATCTTATTCTTAAATGCCTATATTTAATAGACTCGCTGTCTAATTGGAGAATGAGATAATTAACTGTGAGTACAATAAGCAGTGACCACTGTAGTTTATTAATATTGGATGTAGGCAACAGTTAATTTAATATTGTAATAATTAAACAATTGCTTATTAATTACTAGGGCTCGGAATTATATGCACTAAAAAACGGAAGAAATATGCATGCATTTATGCGATGGTTATCATTCAAATATGCACTCAAAATATGCGAAATTATGCAAACAAAAATGCATATTTATTATTTATTAAATTAATTTAATTTTAAAATGTATATAATTCATTATATAATTAATATTCAATAAAAAATATACTTAAAAATATATCAACTATATTTTATGTATATTATTGAACTGTAAAGAACTGTATATTGTATTGAAATTAAATTTTATTTTGAACACTCACTCATCTACACAAAAAGTCACAAACGAAAATCAATTTAAACAAATCAAGCGGATTTTCATAATATTTTTTAAATTACCTGAATAGTTACTATCGTATTGGTACTTTTAGCAAACTCTATCATATCTTATTATAACACAAAAATCAAATTATATAACGGCACTATTCACGGAATTTATGATGGACATGCGCTAAGTAATAAATAATAATATTAATAACGGCGTAGTATTTTTTTCTATACATACATTATATTTAAGAAAAATGCTAAAATATGCATAATAATTTGAAATGTTCCAAAAATGCGTAAATATGCCAAATTTAATTTCGCATACCATCACATTAGATTAAGATTCAAATTTCTGTTTTACCTAGCTACTTTTTAGTTTAAAATATAAAAATATGCAAATTCCTACAATTCCGGGCCCTATTAATTACATATAACATTCATGTTTTATAATTCATAATTAATAATATTTTTATCTGTAGATTACAAACTACACAACTTGCATACAATAGGAGCAGAAAAAAAAATTGTGACATTTTAATAGTTTATGTAATAAATACGGGACTAATATTATGGAACCAAAAGACGCTTGTCATCTTCACATTCCACACTTTGAAGTTCATTTTCATCTGTAAATACAAGGACTTATTAGCATTTAAGTGAGGTAAAGTAATAAAATACAATACAAAAGTTAAACATTTAAGGTCATAGACAAGAGTTGCCATATAAGTACAAGTACTAACTGAAATATTTACCAAAATAATTTCAAATATTTTATTTTGTGTAAAGTATATAACTAACTAACTCTTTGTGAATTATTGTGATTATATTAAATATAATACTAAATTATAGAATTTCGATTAATAAAAACAAAATCACAATAATATAGAATTTACTCAGTTGATTAATATCATTTTTTGTTTATTTTACAGTATCATATGAATTAAAAATTTCATTTATACATTCATAAATTAAACACCTTTTTAACTGATTTCAAAAAATTTTAGTTTTCCCATAACATATGAAATTCTGTAGAGACATTTTGATATTATATCAAATATAATTTAAAAATGACTTTATGGAATAGATTCTTTTTTTTTCTATATGTTTATAATAGTATTAATGCAGTCTAATACATCATCAGTAAAGATAAAGTAAAAGTGCAAATAGTCTTACACATAGATATTAAATATCCTTTATAAAATTGAATGTGCATAAAAAAAAAAAAAATTGTTTAAATACATAATTTATATGTTATTGTATATTACTTAAATATAATTGGAACTTTTGGAAAATATAACGAGATGACCAATAACATGAAAAATAAATGTACCTATATCATTTTTATCATACAGCATTTTTTTAATAAAAATGCAGTAGGCAATTAGAATGAATAACCACAGTATGCACTTCCCGTAAAAGTATTCGAGTTCAGGTGAGTACATCATTATGAATCTATAACAATTAAAAAAATCAATTAATAGTATATGTAAATAATACATCAGTTTTAAGTATTGCACTAGCCGGTACACACTGGCCGGCAACGTTTGTACACCTTATTTCTAAAACATATAACATATATTATATGAATGTACGTTTAAGCCTTTATCTCTGTTAACCTGCACAGTGCCCAACGGTCTTGCTGTTTACGTACAATCGAATTATTTTCAGAAACATTCCAACCGTAATTGGTTCAGTCTAAATGTTGACGTTATACTTGGAGTACATAAGGTTAATGTTCAACAAGTTGTTGCGGTGGACGGAAAACGAGGGCTCTACGCGGCATGAAATAAACGGAACAACACGGTCGATGGTAAAAAGAAAATGATAAACGACTCGAAAAAATGAACCCTCCCGGGAAGCTCGCGATAAATTGGGATACGCTAACCCGGTCGTGTGTGCCGGACGCCCGCGGTTGACTTACGTACGTTCGTTGCTCGGTGTGAAAACGGCAGCGCGTCAAGGACGACGGTCCCGTTGCCGCCGCGTACGTTGCACCGCTCCAGGCTATCGGCGTGCACCGCGAGCACTCAGTGTCGGGCGATCACGACGTGTCGTATACGTACAATACGGCTCACGGCTGACAGGACGCCCGACAATCGCAGTAGCCGTCGGAGTTTGAACGGACAGATAGGGCCGGCGTTAGGGGGTGGCAAAACGGGGCGATTTTCGTTGAATAATATTCCGTACGGAAATCTCATAAAATAAAACGTAAAATGGGTGGATCGCCAGGCTAGTGCGAAACCGGGATGCATAGGAAATTTATTTTATCTCCTTTCTGAAACGTAATCAGTCATTACCCGATATCGCGTACAGCTGTCACCAAGTCTGATTACATGTTATCGCCTTTAGTTGCGGCCCACAGGCTTGTGGGCAAAATAAGTATTGCCCAGGGCCTCGCAAAAGGTGACGCCGGCCCTGCCGCACAGAGTTTACATCGTTTATAACATACAAGGAACATATATAAAAAAATTCATTATGGTAAGATATTCTGAATGAGGTAACAGTTGGTAATACGAGTTAGTAGGGCTACACACCGTATCCCTACACGCACGTAGATGGTACAATTTTGTTATATCTATGGCTATGAACCACGGTCCTACGAAAATAGTCGTCTCTAACCGTGTTATGAACCGTGAATGTTCTTATTACAGAGTATATCGATCGGAATACATAATGGCAACAAGTGAATAACCGATGTTGTATTCTGTTGCGTGTGTTCGTGCTGACTTGTATGGTAAATAGTGTTCAAGAGTTATTATCGAGTTATACGATTTATATTATGGCGCCGACTGCTCGTGATGATGAATCTCAAGAAAAAATACCACCACGGCCCGTTGAAAAAAGGTTAAGCTTTATTCCATCTTTTACCGATAATAGTATTTTTTTGACTAATATTTTTTTGTACAGGGCGGCATTAGTACGTAAAGTGCGATATTGCAATATGCTTCCGGACATACCCTTCGATTTGAAATCTATCTGCTATTCGTTTGATAAATCAAGGTCGGTCGTTTTATTCACAATTGTTAATTTTCTTACTATTAATGTATGATGTTTATCTTCATAGATTTATACAGTATAAAACAACGTCTTTAGAGAGATCATACAAATTTGAAATCTTAGCAGATAACGATTTAGGAGTTAAAATCGACTTGATTAATAAGGATAAGTATACAGTTGACCATAATGTAAAAATGGAATCTGCTGATGAAGAAATATTAGAAGAAGACATTTTAGCATTACAAGACTCTAAGAGGTATAATATATTTACTTAAAGTGAAAGGAATAATCATTTAGAATTTAATAATTCATTAATAACTAGAAAAATACATAAATCTTGATCAGATGATAGTTTTTCAAGCTTTGTAAATTATGAATTTATGAACTAGTTATAAACTGTTCATCAAACATTTTTATTGACAGTATTTCAGTATTATAATATCAATAATTCTGATCAATATATTAAGCAGGCCTCACACGATCAGTAATACTGTCAGTAAAAATGTTGACAGTATATCGATATCCAGTTTTTTCATCAGTCATCAGTATTGTTTTTTCATACTAGCAGTACATCAATACTTATCTCACATGATCAATAATACTGTCAGTATCTGAAATACTGTTAATATTACTGATCGTATGAAGCCCGCTTTAAGTTAAATCAGTATATTTGATAATTTTGATGGTACTTTTATAGTTATTATTTGCAGTATATTAAATTATTGTAGTATAACAAAAACCGTTATATTAAATTTATTTTTCATCTTAAATTTTATTAAATTTTAAAATGTTGTTAATTTGTAGTTGATAAAAAAAAAATATAAAATCTTCAATTTACGTTATAGTTTATAATAAATAAATTATTATTATATTATAATATTGTACACATTTTCATAATGAAATACATATATACAGTAGAGTTAACAACATTTTGGTTTTTAATTATAAACTAGTAGGAGTTCAAAAAATCTAACTAACACAATTTCAATATCTAGATCTCAACATCATGCCAAAAGTGTGTCATGGTTAAAACGTACTGAATATATTTCTACTGAACAAACTCGGTTCCAACCTCAGACAATTGAAAAAGTAGAAGCTAAAGTTGGATTTAGTATCAAAAAGAACTTTAAGGTATATATAAAATAAAACAACTACCAAGTCTTATTCAACTGTTAATTTTTTATTTTCAGGAAGAAACTCTTTACATGGATAGAGACAGTCAGATGAAAGCAATTGAAAAAACATTCAAAGACAATAAAAAACCTATCGAAAAACATTACAGCAAACCAAATGTTTATGCTGTTGAGACATTAAATGTTTTTCCAGATTTTAAGGTAGTATCAAATATTTTACATGTAAAAAAAAAATAAATGTTTGTATTATTTATATTATTTAAATAGAATTGGAGATATCCATGTGCTCAAGTCATTTTTGACTCTGATCCGGCACCAAAAGGTCAGCCAATACCTGCACAAACAGAAGAAATGTCTCAAGCTATGATTAGGTAATTCATACTTAATAATATTATAATCTTTAAAAATTCATCATATAAGACAAAATTGCTAGATATACAATTATATTAATTTTTTAAGTATAAATTCAAAAGTTGTTGATAAATCTTTCAACATTTTTGTGCATAAGTGACCTAGCTAAGATCACTAGTTTTCATTCAAATATTAAATTTTGTCAAATAGCAATCTAACATTATTACCTAATGACAATGCCTTAGAGTTAAATTGTCCCAAAAATTAAATTAAATATTATTGACACAAAGTTAAGACACTTATAAATTACTTTTTAAAATTAAGATAATTACTTAAATAATTCTATTAATAAATAGTCCATATTTTTGAGGATTAAAAGTAATATCATCTAAACTCTAGCTAAAAAATATTAATTTATTAAAAAAAAAAATTAAAAAAAACACAATATGTTAGTTAATGAATCTTTTTAGAAAATGTTGAGAGGAGGAGTTACCCTGATTTTCATTATAATTACAATTCAATTTAAATTATATGTATTCTTAAAAAATTTTTTAATATTAAAAATGATAATACTAATATTTTATCTAAAAGTAAACCATTATTCATTAATATTTAAAATGCCCAGTTATCAAAAAAGTTTAGATTATTATTTTCTATATTTTATTTAAATACTTTACTTTCGATTTTTAAAATATTTTAATGTAAATTACAGTTTTTTAAGAAGTTTCTATTAAGTGACTTAGCACACCAATTAAATAAAATTACAGGTATTCTGGGTGATTAGTCTTCATATGTTTGGTAAAATAAAAAAATAAAAATAATAATAACAAACACCAATTCTTTGTTTAATTAAAATCTATAACTATCCTATAATTGAAGCTTATATGACAAGTTTTATCAATTTTTTTTTTTTTTTATAAGTCACTTCTATTATATTTATTAAAATATAAAATGTTTGAATGAATTTTTTAATTACATTTCAGGGGTGTAATGGATGAGAATGGTGAACAATTTGTGGCTTACTTTTTACCATCCAAAGAAACAGTTGTTAAACGATGTGAAGATGCTGTTAATAATCGTCCATATGATGATGACTATGAATATGAGTATAAAATGGCAAGAGAATACGATTGGAACATTAAAAGTAAAAGTAGTAAGGGTTATGAAGAAAATTATTTCCTAACTATACGACCTGATGGGGTATTTTACAATGAATTAGAAACAAAGTAAATTTAAACCAACTTATGTAATGTATTGAATATTAATATAATTTAATAAAAAAAAAAATTAGGGTACGCTTATGTAAAAGACGACAAAAAATTGGTGTTCAAAGTAGTAGTACAAATACAAAATTAATTGTAAGACATGTCCCAATAAATGAAGAAGATTTCAGTCTTCACAAATTTAGAGAACAACAATTACAACAATATGATGAAGAAGAAGAGGCTAATGCTGAAGAAACTGCTAAAAAAGCAGGTAGTTATTAATTATTTTATTAAAGCCTTAATTTAATACATAAAAAATTAATATTTTTTGAAATTTATGAATATTTATATATAATATACTAATAATAGTAGTACTTTGAGTAGGTACTGTATATTGTTATTATTATTAGTACTAATAATATATATATAATTTACTATTAATAGTTACTAGACCATTATCTAAATAATTACATAAATATATTCATGAGGTATTTTTTTAATTTTAAGGGATATTTTTAATAAATTTTTTCAATAACATCTAAGTTATATTTTTCATTATTGCTGTTTAATATTTATACAAATTACACATTTAATATATAAACAATTAATAACAATATTTTTTATATTTAAAATAATTTTTAAGAAAGTTCATAAATTGAAAATATTCTTTTTTAAATTATTTTTCAATCATATGTTAATTTTACAAAATTTTGTTTTTTCAGCTGCTAAAAAAAGTGCAAAAGAAATGGCTACTAAAAATAAAAATTACAGTGGTGATGATTCCAAAAAAAGGATTTAAATTTTGTATGAGGACTTGAAGGTTGACAGTTTAACCCTTTCAGTACTGTATGCATATTTTAACTATTACCTTCCAGGACCTAATAAAATCAATATGTTTAAAAATTAAATTTAGAACTATTAAAATAGTAAACCTCCTTTTATTCTAAATATAAATGACAAACCATAATTTTCATATTCATTATTATTAAACAAATATATAATACAGCACCTACATAACTAGCTTTGAAAAATTATATAAATTTATTTTTTATTTCATTTTAAAGAAATGGAACAATATTTGAGAAAATCACAGTTATAATTGAATATTATATGATTTAATATTTTTGTAATTCACAAATTACGAGGTGTGATCAAAAAATACCCGGACTGCGTTAATAATATTTATATCAGTTAAGATAACGAAATTCCGATAATGTCATTCGATAAAGTAACTTCTAACGAGGATTTGAGCGTTGGTTTGAAATCGATAACAATATTTATATTTATTTTATGTTATTTTTACAAAAACATGATTCAGTCGTGTGGCGAATTCCGTAAAGGAAGGAATAGAAGAACAACGTGTGTGCATAAAATTTTGTTTTAAATTAGGAAAAAGTTCGAGTGAAACTTTTGAACTTTTGTAGCAAGCTTTTGGAGATGATGTTCTGTCTCGGACAACATGTTTTGAGTGGTTTAATGGTCTTTCGGTTTTGTTTTTGTGTTTGGATAAATATAGATTCACATTTATTTATAGCTATTTTCTATTTAGATTTAAGGTTGTAATAATTTTAATATTTATTATAAACACATTATATCTTGTTCATTAACATTATTCTCAGTGAAAAGCTTAAATTAGCCATTTCAGGTATAAATTGTAATTATGCTTAGTGTTTTTCTTATACTCGTACATTATAAAATATAGCCCATTTATCAAAAAATGTTGTTCTTCATTCTAAATTAAATTACTTTGCCAAGTAATAAGTGCCAATATAAGTGTTACTGATGAGAGAGAGCAATAGTTCTCTTAAAGGTCTTAAAATAAATTATAGCTAAAATAAATATATATATTTTTCTTTATAAATCAGTAGTTCCCAACCGGTGTGCCGCGAACGCCTTTTAAATGTGCCGCCATAAATTTATAAATTGTTTTATAAGTATGTATTTATATTCGAAATGAAAACTGATCAAACTAATCGTAGATACATATAATATTATTTATTGTAAGTATGCCCACCGTAGCCGTCTTAATCGATCGATTGTATTAATATATTTCACAATAAATAACCCTCTAATAGAGTAGACTATAAATAGTATATATATAAAATATGGTTCACATAATTTATGAATTGGTGTGCTGTGAAAATTTTGTTGGAGATGAATTATGCCGCATTGTTAAAATGTTGAAAACCACTGTTATAAATCAACATAACTGTATGATATAGACTGATCATGTCAACTTAAAGGTTAAAAAAGAAGTATATTATTGATGAGCTAGATAAATATTTTAACAATATTGAAGTAATGACAAGAATTTATTTGTGGTTTAAATAACAGTCAAAACTTTATAATTTCTTATAAAGCATTATAAATTAATAGTATATTATCAGCTATAAAGATACAATTATAAAGCGAATAACTTAAAAATTTGTTATTATATATTTTTATTCAATAAACATCAACCTGTTGCTTTATTAGACAATACAATATATATATGGCTTATGTTAATGCTACAGAAAAAATGGTTCAGTAATCCAATTAAATGTTGGACCTGCATTTTATTTTATTTAATATAATATAATATAATTTTTCATTGTTTACCTTAATGCATTTAAATAATTTAACCTATTAAATAGTTAGTTACTACTTATTGAACTCACATTGGGACCTTGTCATATTAGTCTATAAAAACAAATAAACAAAATATCAACAATACATACATTATATAAAATAACTAAATATTTTATCAAACATTTAATTTAATTTAAAATATTCATGGAGATTTTAACTCTGTAAAACTAAAATATGTATATGTCGTAGGCATAGTCTAACAACCTAACATCTAATGTATGCTAAAACTTGAACTTCCACATCTTCATTAATATTATTTTGTCTGATTTGTTGGTTACGACCTACTTTTACAGAAAATGCTCCATGGTCAATCAATAATTTTAATAAATAATGTGTGTGGTGGATGGTACCGACCTGGGTATTGTTCGACATAGGTACATTTTTACTGACTGACGAGAATTTCTATTGCATTTACCATAAATTAAAAGCATTTGCACTTTTTCTTGGTTGCTCATTTTAACCTAACTATCACACTATGACAATCGAAACAAAAATGATTCACTTTATCTACGTTTTAGAGTGTAAAATTAATAATCAAAACAGTTTATCTATCTATAAATAATTACGAATTAATAGGTAAGTATAATTTATCGCTTATATTATTATACATTATTATTATATTATACATCTTATAATAGTGCATATTACTATTGTTATGACTTATAATTATTTAGTATTAAATTATCTGAATAACTATGCTAATTAACAATATCTTATTATTTCAAACCTCGATAACTTTATATTTTATGAAATAACTATTTTCGACTTGTACCAGTTGTACCTAGTAGTACTAATCGACTTTTAATAATTTCATATCTATATTATGTTAGTCTTGTTTATAAAATTTCTAAAAAAAAATACGTACAAATATTCAAAAAGTAACCAATAAGAATTATAAATCATTTTATAAATGTTTAAAAAAAAATTCAAAAATGTATTATTTAATAAAATTGATATGGCTCTTATTCAGTCGATATTGAACTTAGAGCCTTAGTTGATACATAAAAATTACTTTAAAAAAAATAGGCCTATTCGAATATGGTGTTAAAAATAAGAGTTGCTATTTAAAAAAAGTTTTTACTTCGCATGCGCAGACCAAATTCTCTAAAAATTTTGAAATGTATCGAAAAAAGTGTATTCATGTACCACCAGTTTGTGAAAAAAAAAAAAAAATCGTTTTATTCCAAACTAATCCGGCTGAGAAATTCAGTGTTCCCTAAATCGGTGAACACACTGTATATGTTACGCCGAATGTATGAAATTGCCGATTTCATGAAATCAGCAACGTTGTCGTCAAATACGTGTATTCGGCAATTTGGCTACCAAAATCACGAAATCGGCAAATTTTGATTGCTGATTTCGTTAATTATGCAGCCTTTTCTGCCGATTGCACGAATTCGATAACACATTATTATGATATAATTACAAATTGTGCCTTATGGCAGTAATTGAAAATTTCCTCCTTCCTTTAAAAGTTGGTGACAATGTGCGTCAATCCCGTCTGTGAATCGAGGGCGAGGTGATACAGCCAACCTTCTTGCATTTATCATAGAAGAAAAAGATGGAAAATTTCGTATTGGGACTAAAGAAGGGATTTTAAGCACATGACTAGAGCGGAACAGTTTGGCAGCTACAAAGTACTGTTCCCTCACGACTGCAGACGTTCAACAAAATGAATATTCATTACGGGAACTTGTTGGATTGGGATTAGTTGGGATCGAACAAGGCAATTGATTGGCTATATATTGACGTTGTACTTGTATGAATTGGACATCTAAAAAATGCACATGTAAAAAAAATATGATGTGTAATTCGGCGTGTCACCCAGGCCATACTTGCCAATATATTTAAACATAATATAATTTTTTTTTATTTACTTTGTTTACACATTAAAATGTATTTATTATTTTATTATATTCCCGTTGTTTTACACATTTATTTAATAACATATAATATTTATTAATATAATTTGATTTTATTATATTTCTAGCGTTTTATACATTTATTTAAATTAAATTTTGCTTTATAATTTTTAAGAAGGGTCTTGCCGATTTCACGTATTCAGCGACAACGTTGCTGATTTCATGAAATCGGCGTAACATATACATATTATATATATAAGGGAAAGTGGGGTAAGTTGACGCACCGGGTAAGATGACGAATTCGAATTTATAATGATAAAATTAAATCTGAGAGTGTACTATCACAGAAATAACATGTGTGTAAAAGTGATTATTTAATATTTTGATTAAAAAATTTATCTGATAAGACGCGCGTGGTTTATCATTTTACTGTTTTTGGAGGTAATATTATCATTAACGGGTGTTGGAAAATAAGTTTCTATGAAAAAAAAATAAGATTTTTAAGTTCGTTCAATACATAAATTTAGTGCACATTCTAACATTTCTATTAGTTGCTGTACGATTAAAATCTGTTGAATTTTTATTACAAAAATATCTGTTTTGTATAATTTTCATTTGGGGTAAGTTGACGAGTTCGTTCACTTGCCTCTAACCTTTATACTGTGAGCTGTTAATATTTTCGTATTAAATGTAATTGAATATCGATATATAGTATGTAATTATTACACATTTGATGGTTAGGCACAAGTTGTTTTTTATTTAATTGATTAATAAAAGTATTTTGAAAGTATTAAAGTGGTTTTGATTTTATTAAAGATACATTTTACCAACATACCCATCTACTTACAAATTAGATGTGATTTGTTTAACACAAAGAAGTTTTTTTTTTTATTTAAAGTTCTAAAATTATTAAAAACAAGTTAAATAATACATCTACTAATTTGATGTGTTATAATATGTTGCCTGTTGAAGATTAAACCTTTTTTTAAGTAACGAAACTTCATTTAAACAGATATAGTCAAGTTGTCCCAATACTAAGTCAACTTACCCCAGCCACTTGGAAAGATGACGAAAATTTAAAAAATAGAAAAGAACTCAATTAAAATCTAAACCGTTGAATATTAAGTTATAATATTTTTAAATATTATTCTAGACATTAAACAACGTCTATACAAAATTTCAGACCTCCGAATTAAACAGTTACAGAAAAATAAATATTTGAACCTTAACATAGCCAACTTGCCCCACTCTTCCTTACCATAATAATTTTTGGTAGAAATATGCCTATATTAAATAGTAAGTCTAATTGGAGAATGAGATAATTAACTGTGAGTACAATAAACAGTGACCACTGTAGTTTATTAATATTGGACGTAAGCAACAGTTAATTTAATATTGTAATAATTAAACAATAGCTTATTAATTACATATAACATTCATGTTTCATAATTCATTATTAATAATATATTTGTTTTTGGATTTATTTTACAAACTACACAACTTAGAAACAATAGGAGCAAAAAAAAAAAAAAAAAAAAAATTGTTACATTTTAATAATTTATATAATAGATATGGGACTAATATTCTGGAACCAAAAGACGCTTGTCGTCACCACACTCCACACTTTGAAGTTCATTTTCATCTGTAAATACAAGGACTTGTTAGCATTTAAGTGAAGTAAGGTAATAAAATACAATACAAAAGTTAAACATTTAAATTATGGTCATAGACAAGAGTTGCCATATAAGTTCAAATAATGACTGAAATTTTTTCCAAAACAATTTCAAATATTTTATTTTGTATAAAGTATATACTCTTTAGGAATTATTGCGATTAGATATTAAATACAATATTAAATTATAGAATTTTGAGTAATAAAAACCAAATCATAATGACATAGAATTTACCAAGTTAGTTATTATAATTTTTTATTTATTTTACAGTTACATATGAATTATAAATTTCATCCGTATATTTATAAATTAAATACATTTTTGACCGATTTCAGAAATTTTAGTTTTCACATGATAAACATATGAAATTCTGTAGGATCATTTTGAAATTATTACAGATATAATTAAAAAATGACTACGGAATATATTCTATTTAGTTCTATATTTTTATATTAATAATAATGCAGTATAATATCATCATCAGTAAAGAATATCCGTTATAAAATGTAATGTACATGAAAAAAAAATTACTTTAAATACTTAATTTATATTATATTATACATATTTTTTTAAATATAATTGAAACTTGGTAGATGTAATGGGATGACTGAGATATATGGCAACCCTAATCCAAACTCAAAAGGTATAACATGAAAAATAAATATACCTATATAATTCTTATCATACAGCATTTTTTTAGTAAAAATGCAGTAGGCAATTAGAACGACTAACCACAGTATACACTTCCCGTAAAAGGATTCGAGTTCAGGTGAATACATCATTGTGAATCTATAACTATTAAAAAAAATCATTTAACAGTAAATAATACTACAATTTTAAATATTAAATATGTAAACTAATTAATTAATTAACTAATCATACAAATGTACAATTACATTTGAAAAAACAATATAAAACAAGTGTTTTTTAATTTTTTAATTTAGAACCTGGTAATGAAAAGGTTTATGTACTTAATAAATTTAAAATATGAAATGAATATTAATATTTATACAATAATGAATGAATATGAATATATATAAATAATCAGGTTGTTAGAAAGGAAACTATACTAATATGAGTAAGATGATAAGACTAAAAGTGATTAGAAAATCAAAAAAAAAAAAATAAATAAAAATAAAAATAAATAATTAACTGTTGAATTTAGGCAAAAGAAAACTTTTAAATCTTCTTTTACTCTATTTCATGGATACCTAGTAATTACAATTTATTAATGTCTTTCCAATTACAATTATTGAGGCGAGTAAAGGTTAAAACCAGGATAGCTGACTCCCAATAGTTGGAAGAAAGGCGAAGGAAAAGAAAAAGAACATGAAAGAAATATGAATAAGTTCTCTTACATTAAAAAGAAAATAACAATATGTGTAACCAACATAAATGAGATTCAAATGATTAGAAATAAAATATTATTAAGAAATCTAGTCCATAGAAGTATGTCGTTTTGAAAATTGTATGTTTTGTAAATATATTTATTACAGTAGAAACTTGATTAACCATCTGTACACGAACAATGGAATGATTATGTACCATATCAAATGTATAAAAGTTTTAAAAAAACTGACAAAGAAGACTGATTATTTTGTACAGTATGTATGTTGTTTCGGGCTACAATAGGGAGTTCTCACGAGATTGGAATAAATAAGGGCGTCCTGAAAAAACCCATTTTTAGATGTGTTTTAGTCCGATCAATACAAGAGCCTTCATGCCGCTTTACATATTAAATAAAATGGACTTAAAATTATTTGTAATAAAGTTAACATTTTGAACTCGAGGGCTTATTTTATTTCACCACATATCTTAACCTACATTGATTGAGGAGTTGTATAATTGATTGTGCTCTACTACTGTTGCATTAGTCGGTACATACCGGCCGGCACGCAACAATGTTTGTAATAATAATTTGTAAGACATAAAATTCATAAATGTATGTACGTTTAATGCATCGTGTCTGTTGACCAACGGTGCTGACTATAAACCTGTTGTTTACGTATAATCGAATTATTTTAGAAAAATTCTAACCGAAATTGATTCAATCTAAATGTTGACATTTTACTAGAGGGAGCAGAAGGTTTATGTTCAATAAGTTGTTGTCACGGATGGAAAACGAACGGTCTACACGGGATGAAGGAGACGGAACAACACGGTCAACGGTAAAAAATAAAAGCGACAAACGGCTCGAAAAAATTAACCATCCCGGGAAGTCAGCGATAAGCAGAGAGCACATCCCGTGCACGAACGCGTACCCCGGCGTGTCGTTGGAACGCGCGGGACGGCCGCGGTTGACTTACGAACTCTGTCGTTGCTCGGTGTTACGTGGAAAACGGCAGCGCGTCGAGACTACCAGTGGCGTTGCAACGGTCTCGTTTCTGTTGCGTACTTCACTCCAGGCTGTCAACGTGCACCGCGAGCATTCACTGTACGGCGATCACGACGTGTCGTACACGTACATTGCGGCTGACGTTATGTATGCCGCGCGTGTACGTTGCCCGTAGGAAATCGACGGTTTTCATTGGCTGCGAACTACGTTCGTGATAGCGTTATCGTTACGACGTGTTACGTTTCACGTACACGGTGCGCGCATAATATGAATCGGTTCGTCGGTACGACGGTATTTCATGCGAATCGATTCATTTATCCGATTGTGTATTGCAAATCAAAAGTTATTGAACATTTTGTGTTTTCGTCGACCTTTCACCTTGAGTGCAGGCAAAACTTTTCGTTCACATTTAAAGCGATTCGAAAGATCGATTAATTCCCATGAATAGCGTCGCCCCGAGATAAGCATACCATAATGATAAGACATTACGTATCCCGTGAACGTGGTCTGCGCTTTGTGAACACAACGTTGTTACCGTAGATCGCCGTTATACGCGCACACGCGAAACGCGTTCCGTGCGCGGCATTGCGCACAATTCGCAGTTTTTCAGTTATTTATTTTTTTTTATCGATGGATTTACTGTTCCCGGGATAGGGTTTTGGGGAGAGGTATTAAAAATAAAAAGCTCACTGGTATACCTCCGTGTCTCGGCCGATCGACTCGAAAACGTCGACACGTTCTTTTACGCATTCACTGGGCGTTATACAGTTTTATCGTAAACACGGATATGGTCCGTTCGTACGCGCAGTAGTTTGCAACGTTGTTACGAAGACGTAACAACGTACTTTTAACGTTTCGGTAATGGTGTCGAACACGGGACGTCTCACCGTTTCACCGAACGATATTAACTGGCGGACGAAAACGCATAGCTTTCAATCGCCAAACAAAATAACTTAACGGTGCTATGTCGACGGATCTAATTTATTAATCTTCCGACGAGTTGCCACGACGTAATTTTGAAATTATAATATGGGGAATATAAAAATCCAACGAAGGGGGGCGGCGGCGGCAAGACGTGGAACAAGTACTCGTATACCGTATAGCTTAAGGTGGGAACAGACTATTGTCACGTCACGTGAGCTCACGAGCTGTCACTTTGGCACGTTTAATCCGTGATATCACGCTTAGAAATAAACTATCGTCACATAAATACATTATCATGTCACAATTTAGTACCAAGTCAACAGTCACTGTGTTTTGTAGGTGTTTTTTCTTAAGGGGATTGGAAGCGGTGATTTAATAAGGGGCCGTGTATAGGCAATTCAATGTTTTATTCACGTTACGCAGTTTGTTTGTGTGCAAAGTAAATTATCATTAGTGTGCGTTGACACGGTCGGAATCCGTCGTACAGCCTCGTCATGTCTGTGGTGGGGAGCGAAGCATGGTCGACAACGCAAGCCACGTAGATATTATTATTATTATTATTTTATTATTATTATTATTAGGTATTATATTTTATATTATTACTCATTCCAACCGCGCACCAAAACCATTTGTCAATCATTACTTTTGATCCACAATATGACTTATAACAAATATATATTTAATTATTACATTTTTTTCAAAACATAATAGTATAAATTATTTTAAATTTTACCTGGTAGCAGTTGTTCCATGAAAATATTGTGATGCATATAAAATTGAAACAATTGTATTTTTCCGGTTTGTACTTTTTCGAAGCTTACATACTTTGCCAAAATTAGATGCTGTCAGCCTGTATGAACGTTCCCTCTTCCACTCTTCACATTGTGATTGTTCAGTAGTTCGACGTTCTACTTTATTAATATCTTGTAAGCTAAGTTTTAACCGCGATAACATATCTAATTTTTGTTCCTCAAATTCTTCACGAGAAAGTATTAATGGCTTACATCCTAAACTTTCATTTACAGCACCATAATCTTCGTCGAGTCCATCTATCAATTTTTTTTTGGTTCGAGAACTACATAAAATATTTAATTATGTAAAAGTAAATTTTAAAAAATGTATTTAAAAAAATGTACTTGAATGCTTGAAGTGGTTTTCTTATTTCTTTTTGTTTTTGAGATTTAATGTTTTTTAATATAAACGCTTTTGTAAATTTTCCTGGACTATAATTTGTTGCCTTTTTATGCAATTTTCGTAAATATTCCGGCCCATAGTTATAAGAAGTCAGCGCAGTATGACAGCGAGTCGTATAAGAACCTTTAATTTTAAAATGAGATGCGTAATTATTTTATTATAAAGTATAATATGTTTAAAAATTAATTTAGTTAAATCACCTCTAAATGAAAAGTTTATCCTTTTTCCTCCTATATATTTCGCCACAATACTATTGTATGATTCGACTGCATTGTTATTGACGTGATAAACTAAACTTTCTGAATGATATGCCACTAAATTTATAGATGCTATAATATCGTTCCAAATACCACATTCTTGCATTTTTGGAACTAAATTTATATCAGTATCATTTTTTCTTGTACAAAAATACCTAAAATAACAATAAAACATTATTAGGTGTATCTCAAACGTTATTGTGAGAGTAGGTACAGTAAAAAAAATGTACTATTCTTACATATCACATTTATCATGAGAACCAAATACATGATAAGGTCCGTTCGTAATATCAATTTTCAATAATTTTGTTTTCTCGTTATGAGCAATTTTCATATTTTTTCTAAATAATATAGCTTTAGTCACTGCGTATCTGCATAGAGGAATAAAATTAAAAAATATTGTTTAATCATAAAAATAATGATTATATATATATAACTACCTTAATCTTAACACATTTTCTTTTATTTTCGTTCGTATAAATCCTGGCACAACTTTACCCATTGAACTTTTAAAATTAAAATGGAAATATGAACTTCAAGTAGTTCAGAGTTTGAAGAAGAATTAGAAACTGCAGCTGTTGTTGCAGTTTTGGATGAAGAAAATAAAAAACTAATAATACTGATAATACTGAGTTACTTAATGCAAGATTAATTTGAGCCTGTTCAAATTTTGGTAATTGTTTTGTCATTTTTGACATACTCAGGAAAAACATGTACATATCCAGATTTTCAAATTGGTTAGTTATTTTATGTCCTTCGCTGACACACTTTTCTTCATACTGACGTTTTCTACGAGTAGAATTTTCTTTTAGAATTTCAACTAGCTGTTGTGCTGGATTGTTAGTTTTTTGTTTTTTGTTACGTTTCATGTGTTTATAATATGTTTCATCTACCGCAGCATTGCTGAATGTTGCTTCATCTTGGTTAACTTCAATACTTCGTTCATTTTGCGTTTCTCTGTGTATCTGTGCTTGTTCGGACTGTATATTTTCGTCTTCGGTCCCCTCTGACAAATCATCTGGCTCATTGATCAAATTTGCAGATGTCTGAGATTCGTTTAAGTTACTATGCGTCCTTTAATTGAATAAAAAAACATTAGGAATAAAATAAAAAATAACATAATAATTTAATAATTTAATTTTTACTTTCTGCTTTCTAAATATGGTATAATAAATGACATTTGTGGTTCGTATTTCCACACAGATTTCTTTTTGGAAGCCATGCCACTTTGTGTTTCTTCTCTACGTCTGTTCCGAGCATTGCAGAAACATTTCCTTAAATTTATTAACTTATTTGTTGGTTCCTATAATCGGTGGAACGATGGTCACATAATGCCTTATGTTCACGAACTTTTTCGATTAAAAGTTCATCCATTTTAAAATTAAATAACTTAAAGTAGGTAAATGAAATTTTAATTTTAATATTTTATAAAAAAGACCCAAATGCGTGATGACACGTGAGTCAAAAATGTGTGTGATGTTAGAAAATCAAAACGTGCTATCACGCGTGAGCTAGGAAATATGACGTGACGCGCGTGAGGTGACATAAGTGTGGCGCTGATACATTAAAATACTGTATAAATCTATATCCTACACTTTTTTCCCGTGACGTGATAACACGTGATAGCACGTGACAATAGTCTGTTCCCACCTTAACGTGTTACATTACGATATTATAATATGTACCCGGCACCTTTTTCGTAGAAAATATGTTACGATATTAAAATATGTCAATGATGTACTCAGGGAAGAGATATTGTCTCTCGATTTCAATAGTAAATTATATATCTCAATATTATGTAATATAAAACACACGGATGGATATCATACGCTATTTTCCTGTGACCAAACTTGTTACATAACGCGATTTATTGTTTTCGGTGCATCAACAAAATGTTTTAGATATAGCCGTGATATAGTTTTAATGTAATATGTAACTGATTAGCTCTACCCTAAAACAATTCATGGATACGTACTGAAGTAGGTACTTGTCCAAAATGCTATCTACCGCACGTTTGATGGTTAAATATGCTATTTACCGTAAATACTTCAACTACCGTGTAGTTATGTATACGTGTTTCTGATCGCTCCGAGGAATGATTTTTTCAGCACTTTTTTTAACTCGTCACCACAAATCGATTGGTTTTTAATTTTTGTACATATTCGGTCGATTGGTAATAAACCACATATGCTTAAAAAATGTTCGCACATCTTTTCTTCATTTTGAATTATATGTCGATATAAATAACTCATAGTTTACAAACTCATAATAATAATGAATAAATAACAGTAAAAACACATATATTCGATACGACTCACAATCGCATACTAAATAATAATATAAAGCTATACCTACTACTAAGGTATAAATATAATATAATTTGGGGTTTTTAAAATCTTAATTTTAATTGCAAAATGATAAAGTATATTTAATAAACAGCATACGGATATATGGTAGATATCATGCTATCATCAAATTACGGCAGATAGCATATTGGCCGAGTACTCTGAAGTATTTATTGAATGCCACGTATCAATGTTATACAATTTTAATTAAATTAAATTGACATAAAATGTATGAACCTAAATGTTTGTATTTTAAACATCTGTATATAACTCTAAATTTATTTCGATGGCAAAATGTTAGTTTTATGGTGACGGGTATAAGGTCAGTGCCTTATGTATATATATATATGTATGTATTAAGTCGAGTGAAGTGAAATGTTGTTATTATTCATTTATTCCCATACACATAATATGATTACAGATACTTGCATAAGTCAAACGAAGCGAGCGCATCTTACGCGACTATACGAGTATATTAAATTATTCAAAACATTGTTCAAAGTCGGCGCGTAGGTATAGTTCAAGATATTATCAATGAGATCTGTATAGAATTTAGGTAACCACCCGCGGACATTTAAATACTTCAGTATAAACTACAAATGAATAATTTGAATATTGTTCGTACGATTTGTACCTGTCGAATACTTGATGCGTTTGAAAATGTACACGAATAGAAATTTAACCGTCGTTCTATAAAAAGTGATCGTCGACAAGACGGGAACAATAATAAAAAACATGGTATGTATATCTACGTGTAATGAATAAAAATGAAATTTATATGAATATTTAAAATATGTGATACGCTTTATTGGTTTTTTAAGAAATAATAATCGGATAACGTTGAGTACTCAAAACTACCGAAACACATTTCTAGTACTAATGTATTGCAGTAATCGTTTTCTGGTGGTACCCGAGGTAGATACCATTTGAAAGTGCATTTCGACACAAAATCGCGCCCGTTCGTATGCGGTTTCCTAATCGGTCGCGGGATTTATTGCTTCGCGAAAATATCGTTCGCGCGCGTGCTTGTACCGCGGTTGTCCTCCTTAATTGGCGGAAACTTTGAGTACGCGACTAATCCACGTCGGGTCGAACAGACAACCGAACGTTTCACTGGAAGGAGCGCAGGAGCCGTGTCGAGAAGGTCAGCGATATTATTTGGCCGACGAGGTTTCAGGGACCATAAGCGCAATGACGCGACGAACGCATTCCCTCCACCCCCAATATCGTACTTTAGCAAAACTAATTTCGCCACTACCTTGGGCACATCTCTAAGAACACGACGTCGTACAAAATATTTTCAACGGTAGAACGTGTTCACGCGTGAAACCGACGAAAGGCATTTTATTCGCCAAGTGATCTAAGACGGAAAACACCTATTGCGAAACTTGCGGAACAGGATGTTTAAGCGAAAACATCGTAGAAGCGTAAATAATCGAGTACGAGTTACGGGAATTATTACGAGACGCGGACCGACGTCTCCGTGTGGTACACGAATGTATTGAAAAAAGAAAAAAAGGAAAAAAAAAAAAAACTAAAAACCAGATCGGTGCACGTACGCGCAAGTTCCCGTCGACCCCGGTGCACGGTAATGGAACACGTACGCAAACGAACCCCACCTGTTCGGCCGAGTGGACAGTGCCGATAAGCGTTGTCGCGACCATAACCTCGTTCAACGTCCGACGCGCACGTGCTTGTGCTTCGAGCGTAACGTAACCGACAGCAGTCGAACGGTCGAATCGATCCAATACCTTTCCGTCCAGCTGAACCGTCCTCGACCGCGAACCTGCGCCGGTGATAGCTGTCCGAATACGACCCCGACGACTCGTGCGCGCCGCCCAAACCGTGTTTGCCCTCGACGTCCAATTTGTACGTCCCCGCGATGTCCGATCCGCGTTTGATCTTCACATCCAAAAGTTTCATGCCTTCCTCGCCCAACACTCCCGTTCCCTCCACGTCCAACACTTCCGTTCCCTCCACGTCCAACTTCCTCGTTCCCACCGCGTCCAACACCCTTGTTCCCCCCACCGCGTCCAACACCCTTGTTCCCCCCACCGCGTCCAACACTCTTGAGCCGACCACGGTCAACGCGAGCCCGCCCTCGATACATTCGTCATGGTTCCAATCGATGACGTACCAAGAGGCATTGCAGTTAAGCGATCTGGAAGACGACCTGACGGAAGACGATGAACCGTCGACCGCCATGGAAAAAATGCGAAAATTGAGAAAAGCCAAGGACGAGTACCTTGCAAATTATAATTACCCGTTCTGCCCAGATTTGTCCCGTTACAATTTGATATCGAAAATTGGTGAAGGCACGTTTGGGTAAATACCATACGACCGTCGCGTATCAAGCCTTGAGACCGTACGGTTTTCTGTTAATCCTACATATTCAGTAGTTGTTATTATTGTGACTAATAACGCAAGTACTCTAATGCCAAAAAAATGTATTTATATTATTGTGTAATCGAAGAATATTGTATTGGAATCTAACCAGTGGTTCATGGACGACCGAAGGATCTGTACATGATTGTTGCGGAGTCCATGAAATGGTTCTAAATATTTATTCTAATATTAAACAAATATTACCTATTTTTCAAATAACCATTTAGTCACAATACACTAATTTATACTTGTAAAATAATAATAGAGTAATAATTTTTCAAACGAATTCAAGAATATTACATAACAATCAAAACCAAAAGATTTATTTTTAAGGAGTAAGGGGCTAAATGATTATATTATATTTTTCAAAAGGGTCCATGGCTTAGAATATATTAAGAACCACCTTATCATATGGTTGTGCTTAAGTCGCTAGATACTTGTAGACATGACAACTATTGATTTATCGTATAGTAGGTATTGCTATATCCATTGTGAACGTTTTTAATATTGAACTGTTTTATTATTGACTAAGGAACATATACATAGTACGTTTAAGTATATATTTAGTAAAATGTACTATGTGTGTTCCTTAATAATAATACAATATTAAATACAAATACAAAACAAATTAAAATATATATATAAATACATAAGTATTTATTTATTTATTACGTATTGCAACTTTTTGAAGAACTTTATATTAAATTGATTTCACTTTAATTCAGGAATGGTTGCATTTTACATTTTGTTAATATATTATCAGAGAAACGCCATTTTATAATGATTTATTAATTTAAAATTGGATATTTGAAAGTTATCAATGATATTTTCAATATTGAAATATTTATAGTACGTAGGATTTTGAAAAAAAAAGTCATCAATTATATTCTTGTAATTATCATTAAAATGTTACCTAGTAGGTATCAAATCATACATAGTTCAATTTAAATCAACTATAAATAGTTTCTTTTAATATTAAATATATAGTTGTATGAGTTAAACAGAAGACTATTACTTATTAGTTAGGTGTATTCAAATATTAATTCAATCAATATTTTAAAAGGTTCTTCTTCTTTTCTCTTGCCTTTCTCCCAACTATTTCGGGTCAGCCACATATATTCTAAATCTCAACACATCTCAATTTTATACATCTACACACATACTAACAGTCCTCGCATCATTCTCATTCGTATCCAATCATTTTTTTTTTGGCCTTGCTTTTCCTCTTTTCCCTTCAATATTCATTTTCATAACCACTATTGCTGCTTTTGTTTTCTCTCGCCTCATCAGATGCCCAAACCATATCAGTTTATTTTCTCTTATCTTGTCAACTATTGATGCTACACCAATACTACCTCTAACATATTTGTTCCTTATTCTATCTTCTCTTGTCACTTTACTTATCTATCTAAACATTCTCATTCCCACAATAGTCATACTCTAATTTATTCTCTTGTCAACTGCCCAACAATCTAAACTATATAGCATAGTTGGTATCACTACATTACTGTAAAATTTAAATTTTAGCCTCATTGGAATTTTCTTATTGCATAAAATGCTCGACATTTTTCTCCATTTCATCCAACCTTACTTAATCCTATGTTTTACATTCCTTCAATATTTTAAAAGGTTAAATATATTAATATTTTTTTTATTTATCTGTAATGGTATTTAATGTATAAACAATTATTTATTTTTATTATAAATGTTAAATTTAACAATCAGAATTATAATAACTATATTTTAAATTAAATAGCTGGTTAAATATTTTATTTTATATTTGTTTCTGATTATTAATGAATTTATAAAAAAATAAATGTGTATAATTAAATTTATACTTATAGAGTATTTAATTAAGATTTCCTTATTGTGATATTTCAGATTTAATAAGACATTTAGAGATTTAGATATATATATATAAATATTATACATACATTATGTAATGGTATTGAACAGCTGTTGATCTTTAAATTTGTTTGTTCATATATTTCTTCTGTAAATTAAAAAAAAAAATACTAAAACATATTTGTAGAATACTTTTATCAATATATCATGAATATTTAAATTTATGTTATAATTTTTTAGGGAAGTATTTAAAGGATCGACAATCAAATATAATAAACCGATTCTTGTTGCAATAAAAAAAATTCTTAAATCAAATGAAAAGGAAGGTGTGAGTAAATTTTTTTTTATCATAAAAATCACAATAAAGTAACGTAGTATTAAACTGTTTATGATGGGAGTTTTATGATTACATATGTATATTTTTCATAGTACATTGGAGTATTGAAAATTATTTTGTTTATATCTACTAAATAATAGTATTAATTATTTAATTTCAGTTTCCAATGACTTCTGAAAGAGAAATCCGAATTTTAAAAAAACTAAAACATAAAAACATAGTAAGATTAATAGAAGTCTGTCAAACTAAACGTAAGTATAATTCAACTATCATTTGTCGTGTAAGTAAATAATGTGCAAATTATTTACAGCCTCTGCTAAAACAAATTTTCGGACGATATTTCATTTAATTTTTGAATTCTGTGAACATGATTTATCTGGTTTAGTATTAAATCATGAGATAAAATTCAAATTAAGTGAAATTAAAAACTTGTTAAAACAATTGCTCAATGGAGTCTATTATATTCACGCAAATAAAGTAATATTAATTTAACTAGAATTTTAAATGTTTGTGTTAATATAAAATTATTTTTGTACAGATTTTACATCGGGACATAAAAACATCAAATATATTAATTACTAAAAAAGGAGTAGTGAAGATAGCTGATTTTGGTTTATCTAGAGCATTTAGTGAACTACCTGCGAGTATGGAAAATAAGTAAGATTAAATTAAATATTTTATGATACTGCTTCATAAAAATATATTTTTTTCAAAACTTTATAGGTACTATCGAACAATAAAATTTGAATGACATTTTTGATAAAAAGATCATTACTATTTATTACAAAAAATATATATAAACAGGGTATTAAAGAAATGTTTCTCTTTAATTTCAATTCTGACATGTTCTAATAAGAATATTTAAATAAATCTCAACTAATGGCAAATAAGTTAGTTATATTATAGTTTCATAAATTGTTTTATTTAAAATATTTTCAAATATTTAAGATTTAAACCTTACATTTACTTTGCATAACACAGGTTAGTATTCAAAAACATAAATAATAAAAAACAATAAATAAATGAAATAAGTTTTATATTCTGAAATTTTTTATAAAATTTAATGAAATAAATTTATTAATATACATTATCATGTATATAAATCCATTACCTTAAATGTATATTTTTAATGTTTTATAATGTTGATTTAATATGAATGATCAAAAAGTGAAAGTTTTTATTTAACTATGTGTATCACAAATTCAAATTTATGTTAAATATTAAAAATTGATAGGTTAATATTTAATACTTATATAATATATTTCTTATTAAAATTATATATTTGTTATACTACAACTTTATTAATTATAAATGTCTACAAAAAAAAAAAAAAAAAAAAAACATGACTTATTTTTTATAAATGATTTAGTATTTAATTATTTATTTATAAGTAATAATAGATTTTTATGATTTTTTTTAATATTATTCTAATTATAAAATTTATGATATTTAAGCTTTAGTTTGATGATAAATGATAAATATATTTATGATAACCAATATAATGTGGTACTCAAAAAAAAAAAAAAATAAATGTTTTAGTTGGGCAATAAACAAATTTGATAAATACTGTATATTTCAAGAGAATATATGAGTTATACAAGCCTATTAACATTATTTTTAATTTAGTTTACAGTTTACTTTTTCTATTACTAGTCTGTTCAAGTTGGATTAAATATAAAATTATACTTAAAATATATTTTTTAATTTATATATTTATATATATTATAAGTGCAGGTATAATTTTATAAAATTACTCATTAAACAAGGTGGAATACAGAAAAAACCTAGAAAAGATAAAGATAATTATATTGGTTAGTTTAAAAAAATTATTTAAGTGTTTTATTTTATGGGCATAATCTTTGGAAAAATTTTCTTGATATTTAAATAAAATGTTTGTTATCCATAATGCACCTATAAATTGGTTAAATACTGTGCATTTTATTTAAATATGAATTTTATTTTTAAATGAAATATCCCAAACAGCTGTAGTGAGCTGTTGAATAGACTTACTCTATTAATTAATTAAAAACAGAATAAAAATTTGTTTATTTCAATATAATACTTTAATAATTTTTACACTAAATAGGTTTAGACTGGAGTTCTCCACATACGGATTACTTTACTCTTTACAAGTCACAAGTAAGAAGTGAGGCACGAGTAAAAGGTCGGTCCCTCTTACCTACTAGTGTCTTACTAACTAGATCAGAAATTAATTGCATTATGCAATTAATCTATGACAAGGTTGTTTAACTATTATCTAATTTGCGTAAAATATTCCTAATTAACACAATCTACATAAATACATATATCATGTGAAACTACACAGCATTTTTCTCATAATTTAACAATAATAACTATAATATTAGTTATAGAAATAATTTAATACAACTTGACTTCAAATTATTTATAATAATAATTTATATATTATATAGTAGAAGGGTTATGAGTACATTGGATCTAATCAATGTGGCAATATAATAATTAAAATTTCTTCATAATATTGTGGTAATTATTTTTATTCAAATCAAAAAGGTTTTATTGAAAAGAACTTATGTGTAGCCCTAATTTATAATCTTATAATTAAATTAAAACCCAATTTATAATTAAATGTTCATTGATATGTTTATATAGCTGTCTTCTATGATTTATATTTTACTGTTATATTATTACATGTGTAGATATACCAATTGTGTAGTAACATTGTGGTATCGTCCACCTGAATTGCTGCTTGGTGATCGTAATTATGGTCCACCTATTGACATATGGGGAATTGGCTGCATTATGGCAGAATTATTTACTCGTTGGCCAATTTTGCGTGGCGATTCGGAACAAGAGCAGTTATTGGAGATCATCAAATTATGTGGACCAATCACGCCAGAAGTATGGCCTAATGTTGATAAATTAGTGCTATACAGATCAATGAAACTACCTCAAAATTACCCACGAAAGGTTAGATGTTAAATTGGATTTTTATTTGGTTCTTAATATAATACATATTTACAGGTCAAGGATTATCTAAAAAACTATACACGTGATATATTTTCTGGTGACCTGTTGGATAAATTTTTGACATATGACCCGAAAAAAAGAATAAATGCTGACTTAGCTTTGAACCATAGCTTTTTCTGGACAGATCCTATGCCATCAAATCTTGCTGAGAAGATGAAAGAAATACACCAGAATAATTTTGACTATTTAAATAAAATTTCAAAGGCTAAGGCCCAGGTGGAGCTTAATCAATCATTGCCTGCTTTCAATCGAATAAAGCCGTCTTCATCTTCCAGTTTAAATAGTCTTACAAGTTTTCCTGATCGTATTTTCTAGTTAAGCCAATGAATGTATAATTTCATATTATATTAATTTTATCTTCTTGATGGGGGCCATATAAACTTATCTAATATGTTTACATTAAGCTTTTATTATCATATAATGGGTGTTATTGTCTTATTATAAATGTAATCAATAGTTTAAATTGTTATTGTTATTTGTTAACTATTAATTTTTAATTTAATTTAATTTTTTGTTTCAGTTAATTGTATTGTTTTTTGTTTCATTTAATTAATTTTTAATATGATTCTATTTATATTTATTATTGATCGTTTTTTTTTAATGTGATTTTTTAAATTAATCATAGCTATGACTATTCAAAATATATTGAGGGAAGGGTGTAGTAAGTTTTTTGTATTGGTTCGTTAGTAGATTAGAGTATTTTGTATATGAGTATTGCTTTGTTACTGAATACCTGAATGGTTACCAGTGATTATCCAGAAATTAGTAATAGCTCATGCAGCCATAGCACTACCACATCATGCTCTTATTATTTTAATTGTAATTTGAGATAATTGTTTTATAAATTTTTATTTTTATTATACTTATATAAAGTTTATTTTAGAAAACAGGAGATTATTATTTTTTAATTTTTTGTTTTATGTAATAATTTTACTAGTATATAGGCTTTAAAATTATATTTATGTAACATTATTATTGTTAAATGTTAACTTATTAAAAACAACTATATTTCTTATAGATTTTAATTTTAACTCTTGTTTGTATTTATTATAGTTGTAATCGTTGTATGAATTGTTGTTTTTAAACACAAAATTACTTAAATAATTTGTGGGTTTTGACGGCATAAATACTTTTTAATTATTGATGAATACTGAAAGAAAACTTACAATATCCATATTATTATATTTTTTTATTTAATATTTTGATAATGAACGTAAAAATAATTTATCATTGTATTACCTAGTTGACAATCACAGTACAGTAAATTCAATGCAATTGTAATATTGAGTCATATAGCATTAAATAATTATGAAACTAATATTACTATAATATTAAAAAAAAAAAAAAAAATATCAGAACTATTTCATATTGATAGTACTTACATTTTCATTTTTTTAATTAGTTTTCAATGATTTTAGATTGAACTAGATTGTAGATTACAATATGCATTGATAAAAAAATAATGTTCAAGAATACAATTATTAAAATGGTAAATATATTTATACAAATGTCTGCAATACAAAATTGCAAGTTCTAAATATTTAATTAATCAACAACTTTACTAAATTATATAATGATAGATTATCAAAATGAAAAATATTAGAATAATGTCATTCAGATTTAGCAGTATTTATTAGATTTAAATTTAGTTTTTATTTTGCTTCTTATACTTTTAAGACATTTTTATATAAATAAAAAAAAATAATTAACTTATTTAGAGGCATTTTTAGTCTGATCTTGCGATTTTCAACTATAATTTGTTGATACTCGTTTTAAATTTTGGTTTTAGGAGCCTCTTAGAGCTTGAGGCCCTGTGAATTACATCCTCGCTAAATCCGGAACCGTTTCTTCAGTATTTTTAAAAAATTATTTTAATCTAATTTATCTAAATAATACGTCAAAACAGTAACGTATTTAAGGGTTCAAATAAAGTTGGAAAATCCATAAGAAGAGTCTTGAGCAAAATATATCAGTAATATACTTACCCCCATTGTATTAAACTGATCGCTACGATCGCAATAAAAAATAACAACCCAATATAAATGTTATAGTAACAAATATTATTAAAAAAAATAAGTACACCATTTTTAAAAAATTTATAGTAGGTAATAAAATAAAATTACAAAATTATAGTTGAGAACCTCTTCGAAGTCTTGAAAATCATATTAGAAAATTTATCACATCAAGGTGTGACTACTTCATTATCATTAGTTTCTAAATACAAGGCCTTGTCGTATCAACCGATCTCTTCAATCATGCGTCGTATTTTTCAGTTATTGATATGATGTGAAGCCTATTCATTTATTGATATCATTGAAATACGATTGTCTGGATCTTCCTGTTGGTCGTTTACTCATAATCTTCTCTTCCAAGATGTTTGTGGTGCTTCATATTCTATGAAAAGTAAGACTGAATTATTTTTTCGATTTTAAACTGTAATTACGTCGAAAATTGTGAAAATTGCATTTTAAATTTATAGATTTTCATTCGTACATACAGGAAACGCATTTAAAACTTGCTTAGCAATAAATTGGAGTAGTAGAAAAAAAGTTTCAAATGCAAAAATATTCGTGCCTTAATAATATGCAATGAATAGAACAAATCAAATATTTTTTTTTATACACAATCATTTTTATATATACAGATAAGAATGTGTGATATTTACAATTTGCAATTATCATAGATATTAAGCCAATGATTCCGCCTATATTATGAGTAGGTATACGATTTACACGTATCGAGTAATTTTAAAAAATTAAAAATAAATAAATAAAATAATGGGTTTTCCCAAAATTTGCTTCCGTAAAAATCTTCTCCTGGTAATTACGAATAACTGAAAAAAAATCTGAGCCAAATCGGCCCATCCGTTCTCAATTGATGAATTCTTATACATTATGAACACCGTTAATGCTAGGTCGGCCGACTTGACTCCTGACTTGCTTGTTAGAAGTGTACTCACAAGTGGTGGTGGATTTAACGATCGTTTAGTGGGAAAATACCCAGCGCCGTAGAAACCAAACATTGCGCCAGGGGTAGGGTAACAATTAATTTACAAGGCGAAACTGAGACAACACAAACACATGTTGAGCAATATACTTTTTATATAACTTTTAATATATTGAGAGGACCTTTTTTTAAATGTTATAAAATAATGTTCTTAGTGCGAGGGCGTTAGAAACGTAAAAAAAAAAAAAATAAAATAAAAATAACGAATTGTTTGCAAATTATCTCCCTCAGGCCGCGCGCACATTGGATAAGAATTCGTTTCGTACCAAAAAGGTACTAATACTGGCGGTACGAATTGAGTGCGCATACTGAACACGTTTTTGTCCGTAAAATAGTCAGTGTTTCGGTGATTTCGCATTCGTGACATCCTTGCACGCAATGGATACCTAATCCGTTTCCGACGTACGAACGTTAATGAAATCCGGACAAGTTCGGATTGTTTTCGTATGTCGGAGCTACACGTACGTATACGTACGAACACCTTGCACCCAGTCTGCGCGCTCGCATAGTATTTGGTAGGCCGGGATCGTTCGGCGTGTACGTACAAAGTTCACTTGAATCAAATTCGTACGAAAACGCATCCAATGTGCGTGCCTTATCCGTTGCGTGCCAGGATGTCACGAATACGATATCACCGTAACACTGACTGTTTTACGGACCAAAACGTGTTCAGTGTGCGCATCCAATTCGTACGACCAGTAATTGTACCTTTTTGGTACGAAACGAATTCGTATCCAATGTACGAGCGGCCTCATATAAAAGTTATGTATACGTCATTGAAGAGGAGCGTAATGGCCGGCAATATAATGTTTAGAAAACATTTTGTAAAATTAAATATATATTATATGTGTAAATTATTATATAATGTTAATCGATTACGATTAAAAATGTATTTTGAGATAAAATGGTTGAAATTAAAAATTAAACAATACTAAATTTCCTCTAAACTTTTGAGCCGAGACATATGGACGTCCCGAAAAATGTTTTCGGGACACCGGGAAGTGAAGTCCAAAACTGATGACAATCCCGGTTTTCCGGGACGTATGGCAACCCTAGCCCGGGTTGAAACTTCAAAACGCACCCTTATGTAATTTTAATTAAAAAATATTATGCTTATTAGATATTATTTTCAATGATTGCTTTAATTAATATGAAGGATGTTAAAGATTTTGTAAACAAAATATACGACATTGACCTCTGTAATTTTTAACATTAAATGCAAGATTTTAATTTTTACGCTCTCCCAGGAATTGCGCCCGGGGCGTAGGCATCTTTCGCCATCCCCTTGCTACGGCCCTGAAAATACCAACATGGTCTTGTCTAAATTGTGTGTTGAGACTCACCTAAATAATATGATTGGTTTTTTTTTAAATTTCGACCACAAAAACAAAAACTATATTGTAAAATGGAATGCAATTTATTATTGTTTTAATCAGTGCTCGACTTGGCAAAATTAAAGAAAGGGGACTCTATTTACTTTAAAAAAAAGATGTCCCCAAAACTGGCTGAGCGTTATGATTATAGCGTAGTAATAGTTAGGGGACGCTAAAATGTTTGAAAATTAATTGAGGTACTCCGTACCCCTGCCCCCCCCCCAAGATGAGCATTGGTTTTAATAATAGAATAATTTAAATGTACCTATAGGAATACTATAAAGTAGAAAATATCGAACAAATAATCTGTATACGTAATTCAAAATTATTTTACTTTAAAAAAAATAAACAAATTAATAATTTTTAGCGCTTACAACATATTATGTATAATTATATTATTCTAAGTTATGAGAGTCGTTATCGAACAACGGTGTTCGTAAATCATTCCGAAAAGATCATTGATCTGGTCGACGATTCCCCTCCTACCATTCTGCAGATTAGCTCCATACTTTTTCTCCCCTTACACCGGTACCGATGTTCTAAACATGACAAATTAGATTTGTTACCGCTCGTTGTACGCGATCTACAAAGGTTGACAAAAGTTTCATTAATTATCACCAACCGGTCACCAAATTTACGCAACCCCCGGTACAGGTGAACAATACAATTGGTCACCCCTCGAACAACCCCCTTGCAGTATTATTTTATTTTTATTTCTTATTTAGTTTCATTGGATACATTACAGCAATGCTGTAATAATATACAAATATAATAATCATCATAATCATCATTATCCAATATAATAATAATAAAATAAATATATTTACTGATAAATTATGTAAATTAGTTTAACTAAAGAAGGCAGCAGAATTTAGGAAGTAATGATCGAGGAAATAATGTGAGTGGAGCGAGTGAAACAGATTTAAGTCAAGAGTGGAATGACCAAAGGAAAATATGAATAAAAATAGAAGACGTCTGCAAGGAAGATACCCATGCAGTAAAAACTGATTTTAGCCTAATAAACAGTTCTACGTGTTGAA